TACCGGAGCCTGCCCCTGGACCCGGCGGTACCCTTCGATACCCAGCGCGGCATTATCCCCAACAGCTAGGGCAGAGTGGACGGTGTCCCAGGTCTGTATCTGCAGGGATACGCGTGGGACACGTGTCGAGCACAGCTGGTGGGTTGGGGGGCTTTGGGGTGGGAAGCTCTGTTCACCAAGGGCACTGGGACAAGGCAGTCGCACGCCTCAGTCAGAAGGTGGAAACCGAGGAAACGAGGCGCCTCTGTCAGGCGTGAAGACCTGGCCCGTCCCCAGCTCGCGTGAGGGGTGTCTGGTTTAGCAGCAAACAGCGCTGAAGGTTATGGTGGTTTTACTGGGCCTCGGAGTCTGTTCCTGAAGCGATACAGCCCGTACGGCTGTTTAGTGCTGACCTGCAGCTACACAAATCCCTGTGACAGCACCGTCGAAGGGCTGCGCTCTCTTCCCACTGCAGGGATACGTTCTTCCACTGCCCACAGCTTGATGTGACACCCAGGGACAGGGCAAGGACTTGCAGGCAGGAGGGTCCATGGCCACACGCTGGACTGAGCCCGGCTGTTCTGTGTGCCCGTGCAGGTCTGTACTGCAGCGGGTGGGTGAAGAGAGGACCCACGGGCGTGATCATCACCACCATGAACGACAGCTTTGACACTGCCCAGTCTGTGCTGGAGGATCTCCAGGTGGGCATGCTGGACGTGTCCACCTCCAGAGAAGGCTTTGGGGCTGTGGAGAGCATCCTGCGCAGCCGAGGTCAGTGGCGGGGGGGGGGTGTGTGTGTGTGAGCCACCGTAGCAGCCAGCATGAAGGTGTGATGGAGCTGAACACCTCCTGGATCTGGGTATCCTGGGGCAGCGAGTCCTGCGAGCCACTTTTGGGAGCAGAGTCTGAATCATGGAAACATGTTTTGCTGCTGTTTCATTGCTCTAAAGCCCAGGGAGAGCAGGACTCGATTTCCTTCAAACTCGGTGTCATTGCTAAGCTTAATGACCACTTTCTGGGAAGGGCCGTTAAAAGCAGCACGGACCTTGGGTAAAATGTCACTGTCAGCTGCCTAGACAGCGAGCTATTGCTCTTGAGTGGCTTTTCCTAGTGATCCTTCTGGGCCAGTTGGAGGAAAGATTAAAATGCCCAAGAGAGTAATTTGCTGTTGCTGTGTTTAAAGGCATTCCATTAAAGTGTGTGCGTTTTGCCTTTTAACTGTCTGAGGTTTAACAGTGAACTGGAAGTGTTTTGTCCCCCGAGGTGATGCCAGGCTCGTTGTTGTTACAGCTTGCAAAGGTCTGACTGATCAGAGTCGACTGGAACCTGCCGTCCCTCTCTTCGCGGTGTTAGAAATTATTATTCCTTTGTGAAGCTGAAGTCTGACGCCGTGTCGGAAAAGGGCAGGGATTGCTGGCACATCAGGTCCCTGCTCGGGGAGGTGAGGCTCAACTCGTTTTCACTTGGTTCTCTCTCCTGTCTCTCGCTGTCACCCCAGGGATCCGTCCTGTTTCCTTCTCGGACTGGGAAAAGATAGATGCTGCTGAAGTGGCAAGAGGCAAAGCTGCTGGTAAACCTCGTGAGAAGATAGTGGATCCTCAGGAGATGCTGCAGCTGATCGGTCACTAATGCAGCAGCGATGGGAATGCGGCGCTGGTCCACCTGGTACTGTCCTGGGGCAACGCCAGCGGGTTGCGGGCAGGGCCCGGGAGCGCAGGTCTTGTGCCCGGTGCTGGTGGCCGCTCTGGAGAGGTGTGTGACGCTTGAGCCTCTCTGGTAACGATGAACTCTGGGTTCCCAAAGTGAATGTCTCAAAACATCTGAGGCTGCTGGCAGGCGGCCGGCGCGC